TGCTGATGTTTTAGAGATAACAAAAAGGTTATGGCTGAATTAAAAAAAATTACTTCCACTTTATTTTATGCAAACTACTGATGGTACAATATAGGGGTATAGGGGGAAAAAAGCAGTTTTGTCAAATATCGTGATATTTCATTAGAGGATATTGGCATTGATTTAAAACAATGTCAAGTTTGGATTTAAACCCCCATAATTTCCAAAATGATGCTTAATGAAAATATTAATAAACCTTCTTGAAGCCTCCTTCTTGTTCCTGATAGATTTTATGCTATGCTGATGACAGTGGAATTTCAGTCGGCCAACATGTTTTCTCTCTCTCCCTATTCCCCTAATCTTTCCTCGCCTGTTACCTCTCTCTTTCCAGGGAATCCAAGGACCCCAGGGTCCACCTGGAGAGATCGGTCAAGATGGACCCAAGGTCAGTGATGAGTAGTTATCATAATAACTGTGTGACAGTTTTCTCCCTTTTTCTGATACTGATTCCACTCATAAGCAACACAGCTTCCTTAGAGGGGTTCACTTTGTTTGGAATTTATATATGTTGAAGTTAAACCCCTTTAATTTATTTTTCATTACACTTAAAGCTTTTAATAGAGGCAAACATGTTTTTTTTTTTTTTATAATTTTTCCCTGAATTCTTTATAGAGTTACATAACAACAAACCAATCTTATATTTTTTTTATCACACTTGACACTGCAAGGTTTTTTAGCAAGGTCTTCATCTTATTAAGGCTGAAACAGCTTTTTAACGTTACTGTTAGATTATATTTCCTGAGCAATGAAACTCAGAGAGAAACTGTTCAAATGCTTATATTCTAAGGACATGAAAATGGTTTCCTAAAACATGGCCAAGCTTTGCAGACGGAGACACTGTAGAGCTCCAACATGCATGTTTGAGAGTGAACACGATTATAAAGGAGTTCAGCCTTTATTCTCTCCAACTTGCATGTTGATCTGTTCCATGGGCTCAGTGGGGAGTGTTGGCCTAGTGTTTAGGTTGCAATTACCCGGTTCGATCCCCACAGCCTCCACTCTGGGTCCCTGAGCAAGACCCTTAACCCCACACTGCTCCCCGGGGGCTGAACAGTGAGATATAACCAATAACTTCATTCCAGGGTGCCTGTTGTCACAAACCCACTAAAAGCAAATAGATGATGTTTAGTTGGTCATATTTTCCAGTGTGCCGGTCATTGAGAAGGTTACAGATTAAACATATGATCCAGATCTGTATGGATGAGGTTAAGAATCTTTCTCCTTTCCTTTTCAGGGGAAGTGTGGTGATCCAGGAGTTGCCGGCCCCCCTGGTCTTCCAGGACTAAAAGTGAGTAAAGATCATCTTTTGGGTGTCAGAAATGTAACCAGTCTCAATGTATTTAATGTTTTTGAAGTCACTTAAGGATGGTAAAAAAAAACATTTCACAATGTTTTTTTTACATTTAGAACCAAAACCCAATGATAACATCAACTGGTATCTTTTTAAGAAACTTGTGTTTTAATATTCGCCTAATTCATTTATCTATTCCAAAAAAATCACAAACAGATTGATGAAAGTAATATTGCGCAAACATAGAGATGCTTTGTTAGAGAAATTTTCAGTCAGCAGATGATGGTCCTAAAAATCCCCTTAGACATACAGCGGGGCCAAAAAGTATCGATTCATCCACTGATTGTTGGGACACTGTAGCTCATGTCAGTTTTACTGAACAACCAAGAGACCCTTTAATTAGGGAAAAACACACTTCCTCCTTATGTTCCAAGCACAGAAAAAAACACTGTGGAGTGTTTACCTTCTCCCAGTCTGCTCTGACCTGCTTCACTCACTTTGAAAGCAACTCAGGATCATTAAGAAACTGAAATAATCTGACACAATCCTTATGGTGGCTGAAGCAAAAAGCTGTGACACAACATAAAGGCATAACTGTATGGTAATCCAACTTCAGTAGCTGTCAACAAAATCCTTTCACTAAGTAGTGCTAAAGTCCTCTGAATGACAATATTTAATAAACAACTACAAAAAAAATACTAGAAAATATGAATATAGTGTCATCAACTCTTTAGATCACATTATGTCCATTTCTGCGGACCTAATATGTGAGGTACCTAAAGGGTCTCTTTGGGCCCTTTTCATTTTTTTTTCTTCCAAAGATCACATACAATAAAGAAAAAAGCTATATTAATGTGCAATAAAAGAACAACTGGTATTGCAGTGATCGATTTTGCAATATAAAGTGCCTACATGGTGCGATTTTAAAGAATTTATCTGTAAATTATGTGAATAAACCAACTGTGGGAGCAAGTGAAAGGAAATGAAATTCATACAAGTCCATTGATAACGTCCTTCAATCTGGGGCCCCATGGAAGATTTGATCCTGTGAGGTCTCATTACCATGAGAGCAGCGAGCAGGCGAATGACCTGCAGAGAGCTGGGACCAAAGAACAAAGACTACCATCAGGAATTGTCCTGGCATCTCTAAAGTTTACTGAGGAGCATATGGAGGATCCAGATGAGGACTGGGAGAATATTGTGTGATCAGTAAGAAAAGTACAACTTCAGGCATAAACTCAACTCATCATGTTTGATGGAAGAGGAATGCTCTTCCACTAAACATGATTAGTTGTGAAAGATGGGAGTGGAAGCATCATGCATTGGAGCCATTTTTTATGCACAGGAACACATTTCAGTATAGAGGGAAATGAAAAGGCCCCAATGAACAGAATGATGAGATATTAAACCAAACCCTCCTTCCATCAGTGAAAGCATTGAAGATGTAACATGGCTTGTTCTTCTGGAGGATAATGATCCCAAACACATCACTCAGAAGAATCAACTAAAGAACCTGGAGTGGCCCAGCCCATCTCGCCAAATTTATTTAAAAATAAAATAATAAGAAAAAACAAAATCTGAGAAAACAGCAAAGGTAGCCACAAATCATTTTTCTTATATTAAATGATTTTTCAAAGTTTCATTTCTGGATTGCATTTTTTTCTTAATTAAAATTGATGAAATATGTTATTTGCAACAATAATGGAACAAAATTCACTCCATAGTCTCAGTTTGTATGGTCTTCACCATGGCACTGTTTAAAGGACATAATAATCCCTAATAGTTTTTTTTTTACAGGCTCAGATCAAAACACTTTATGGAGAATTTTTCCTGTATATCAGATTGATTCTAAGAAGATGACTTTTATGAAAAAGATCTGTAACTTTTGACTTCTTCAGGGGTTGGTGGGGGAGCCCGGCTTTGCAGGCCAGCCGGGTGCTAGAGGGCTACCAGGGTTTAAAGGTCATAAGGTGAGATTCAACACATCAGACGGATGTCTACCTTTAACTACACAGATCTTTAGGAAGCCTCCATGAACTATTCTGGAAATTCTCACAACTTTACCTTAATATGTATGTGTTAAAAAAACACTTGTCTTTCACTCTGCTTCATTGCTGCACAGTAAGAGGACATTACTGCCGCTCTTTAAATAGAGTCCTGTTTACCGTCCAGTTTTTCATTAAAGTTTCCTGGAGTCTAACTTTGTTTGTCTTTTAAGGGAGAGAGAGGAGAGACTGGCTCTAAAGGAAACCAGGTAGAGAAACATAAATCAATCATTTTATGGTTCTTTTATTTAACTTGTTTTATGAATTTGTGTTACGTGAACTTTTCCTTTTATCTGAATTGAAAGGCATTTCTTCTTCTTGTCTATTCTTCAAAACCAGAATTCTTCCACCATGTTAAGATGATCATATCAGTTCCTGGTCTATAGTTTCCATACAGAAATTTTCTGGGTGTAACTTTATGATGGGAAGAGTTTTTATCAGTGGAAAACACACAGGGTCATATCATTATTGATGTAAATGCCAGTTTATTTCAGGGTCACATAACAGATCATTTACCAAAATGTTGACAATTCAATTATATAAACCAAGAAAACAGAACAAGAAAATATATTTAGGTTAAAAGTAAACCAAATAGACTACAAATCTATCATTTTAAAAGGGAATCAAACACCAAATAGAAATGAGTCTTCAGTAAAGATTTAAAAGTCTCGGCTTACTTGAAAAGGTAAACCATCCTAAAATTTAGAGCACAAAAAATACCTGATCACATCTGAAATTTAACCTGCATCTGCACCCAAACTCTTGAAATAATTACTAAAAAAAACAGGAAGTAGCCAGAATCATTTAATAGCCTTAATAGGCTATTAAGTAGCCTTTATCATTTTTAAGGACTTTGATTGAAAGATATAGCTTCATCTTTGCAGTTTGAGAATCAAAGGAAGCAGCTGAACTTCACGATTGTGTTTATCCATTTGTTATTTAAAAACCCAACTAATAAATGCTGCAAATAGTGCATTTTATATATACAGTAGCTAAATGAACTGTAAAGTAATAAAAAACTTAACCCCAATTATAAAACAGATTTTAAAATCCATTTAGAAATTAAATTTGAAAATACATTTCTATATAGAAGTATGTATTAATGAAATAATAAATGACATGTACAATTCCTCTTTAAGTTAAATAAACATTTAAAATATAGATTTTCCTTTTGGATTTCTAATAATATAATTTAAATATCAGCTTGTTGAAATGGTTTATCCAAAGGTTGCTTGTTTTTCAGTGACATTACGGGTTTAATTTTGGAACTACTACTGTAAACTAATGTAATGTAGTTTAGTATTGTTTGCACTGTTGCAAAGTTACAAAAACATTTTCTAACTCAATCAAAATCTCACAAAGCCTGAATTGTGTAAACCAGAGCCAAAGAAGGTTCGCTCTAGGCTCTAAGCCTCACAGGTAAAACAGTGCGAATGAATCCTGGCCTGGGATCTTTCTGCTGTCGGTCTGTAGATTCTCCCTGTTCACGGTTTGACTTTCACTGGGTACTCCAGATCACTCTTACATAAAGAAAACAAACAAAAACTACTGTCAGGTTAACTCATGCCTAGAAATTGCTGTTAAGGTGAATTCATCCAGAAGGTCAAGTTAGCTTGCTTTTGCATGTCCATCACTGCAAAGCTAGTTTAGTTCTAGAGCTGAGATTTAAAGAAAGAGGTGAGGTATGTTTGACTGGAAAACACTCATTAGATAAAATGTCATATAATGGATTTTTTTGGCCTAATCCCTGTTCCCCATCTCATGGATTTTTATCTTAATGGCTGCAGGGAGTCATAAGAAGCTTTTTGTTTTCCTCACACAACATAAAATGACACAAGAGACAAATAATCATGTAATGTTTGCAGGGGGAGCGAGGAGAAGATGGAGAACCAGGGACTCCTGGCGTGCCTGTGAGTGTCTGTGCCTCCACTAGAAGGCAGCAAAACCTATATATTTTTTAAAGCCTTAATATGGATATATCTTTCTTTTTATCTTTTATTTGTGTCAGTCAAAAAATAGTTTTAATAAAAAAAACTTAACTTCAATCCAAAAGACCCTTTTCACTCAAAGAAACAAGTTTGTGAATACAAAAATATAACTGAGGCAAAAAACAAAAACAAAACAAAACACATTTGAACAATGTTTTTATTTGATTGAAAATGTTTTCTATTTTTTTTTTAGTAGTGAGGTTTTTTTTGTTCGAAGCAACTTTTCAATTGAATTAATGTTTTTTTGTTTGGGCCATATTATGTGTAGGACATTAGTGTATTTATAATTCAATTAATAAAAAGTCACTTCAATGAACAGAAGATTTTTAATGCAAAAATATATTTGAGATTTAAAAATTTTCCTTTAAACGCATTTTTATTGAAACAGTTTTCTTTTGTTTTCACTTCAAATTTAAAAATAACAACAACAAAATACACGTTCCTTTCAATATTTTATTTTAACTTCTTTTTTATTTGAATTTTTTTTTTCTTTGATTGAAGCCCCTTTTAATTGGATTGAATGATTAAGACAAATATGTCCTACCCATGTGCGGCCAAAACACAAAAAAGATTACTCCAATTAAAGAAAACGGATTCGAAAAAAAAAGTTTTCAAATGCAATTTGAAATTATTTTGTCCTGATAAAATAAGGTTATATATTCAGAGTATTCATTCTGATAGTTTTGAGTTAGTAGTTTTTTAAGCCTAAATAGAATTCCTGCACTAAGAACGATAAGAAGAAATGAACAAACAAGGCGCCATCTACTGGCAGTACCAAGGAACTATCAGAAAGCCAGATCAGCGTGGATGAAGACCAACTGATATTAATTAAATAAAACAATCTACAGCAAACCTAAGTTCTAGTGAATCCTCCTCAGAGCCTCCTATCAGGAAAAACAACATTTCCATTCCTAGAAACACAAACAGGGACGCAGTGTTTTAGTAAGGGATTATCTATTTATAACCTTGCCCTTACCTAGACTGGAGAGTATAGGAATAGAATTTTTTTTACTGTTATCAGCATAAAAAAAGGATGTTTACTCATGCATCCATCAACTTAGCAGCCACATCTAAACTCTTCTGTTGCTTCAAACTCCCGTTCAATGAACGCATGAAATCTTTGAACTACAGGCTCAATATTTTGATATCAACAGTTAGAAATTAACTTTATGAATCCCTGTAATCTTCCCCTTAAATCTTCTTTTTTTTTTTCCTGGCAGGGCGAAGTCGGACCCAGAGGACTGAAAGGAGAGGTTTGTTAGACTTCTATTCTGTATTACTGATGAACTCAGTAGGAAATATACCAAAGCCTTGATGCTTTAGAAGCTCATGCTTTCACAAAGGCTGCGCGACCTGTGCAACCACACATGGCCTACAATACTTAGGGGACTGTGTGCCTACAATTTAAATTTCTTTTTGTAATAAATGCAGATTGTGTTTTTTTCGGACTTGGCATGCCCTTTGAAATGAAGGTAGGACATTTTGACTAACTAGGAAAAATGTAAGGGGCGACAGTAGCCTTGGATGAAAGAAAATGCCCTACAACCAGAGGGTTGTCGGTTCGAGTTTTTGTCAGCGGCTTTCAGCCTGTCCAAAAGACTTCAGCGTTGCTTTGGGCAGTGAGCCACAGGGCAGTTGTAGCTACAGTATACCTCGCAGCATCAGTGTGTGAATGGCTGAATGTAGAGTAAAACCCTTTGGTCAAGTCTTCTGACTTGAAAAAGCACTAGGTACAGGCCATTTACCATTTTACTACGTGTCTCATGGGTCCTCATGAGTCTTTCTTCTACTTAACCTGCATTGCTGACTCATGGTGGTCTGACGGTCGCAGTGTATGGCAGCCTTGCTTATGTCAGTGTATTGCTGTGGCTATAATTCAGTCATTCGCTGCCATCTGATTTAAAAAGGCGCTATATTAGCACAGACCAATAACTACTTTTTCATGTTTATGTTTGTTTACGCCAAATGTAATGTAAAAAAAATTGCCAGTTTCACATGCTTTTGCTCACCTTAAATTTCGTCAGAAAATTGTCTGGTGAACGAGTGAAATTCGCACAGTAGGAGAAAGGCTTTACTACATCAATGAATCTGTTGGTTTCAGTGTCACTTTAACATCTCAAACATCTTACAAAGTGAGTTGCAATGCTTTATTTAGCTATGGTTTTTCATGGAGGTTGAGGTGAGGAACCACAGTGGAAAATCAGAACAGCTCATTGGGCAGAGAGAGTGCTAGAGCAGTGGAGAGGTGGAGGCTGGCAAGAAATAACTTTAGAAGCAGATAGCGGTA